TCTAGACATTTTCTACACTAATAAAAACAAACCAAAAAATGTTTTGGACTGAGATGCACTTTATGTGCTGTATATGTTGTTCATAAGTATTAAAAACAATAGAACAATATTGATAATGCTGCCAACAATAGCCAATGCTTGTTCACAAATCTATCAACCACTTCAGTATCATACAAACAAGGGATGTTCATGTGATTGCCAAACGATGATTAATAATCTTTTGTGTGAACAGATTTTCAGGGAGGAGGTTTTGAACATTTACAACATACATATAAAGCCATGAAAATCCTAGACACATAAGAAGCTAGTGCTGTCTGACATGTTCTTATCGGTTGTACAGATCCTTGTCTGAACAAACAGTTCTTCAGACTATATAAGATCTTTCTCTTTGACCAAAGCTACTTTAATACACACCCTAGTACCATCATTCAATACATTAAAGTGGAACTGTTAAGAGGCTAATTAGATGGACTAAATGGCATTTTTTCAACTTTAATAACTTTGTAAATACATGCCATCTATATAGCATATAATATAAACATGCAAATATTTAAATATTAAATAAGCATTAAATCAAAGACCCACCTGACCTTTGCAGGTGCAGACACTGTGGAGCAATTCATCCTAAAGGCCCACAAGGGAAGCAGTGAAGTCCTTCAAGTCAAATGTCAACTCTCTATTTTTCCCCTCTTCCTGAGCACCTGCTCAATGTTCTCATTAATGCGGAACTAAATTGTATCTAAGCACCACAAACTGAAAAAGCTATTTATTACATTTTTATTATTATAAGCAATGTCAACGTCCAAACATGACTTTGTGCTCTATTTTGTTGAGTAAAACACCCCCCTAGCGTTTCTTGGCCACCTTGAGTAAGGACAGATGATGTAGCATTTACTTCCTGAAATCCATCTGCCCTTAGCTCAGTCATATAGGCAGGAGACAAAATGCTAACAGAATAAACAATAAAAATAAGTAACATTAATTGAGAGAGTTTAGTTCCACTTTAAAGATTAGTAGGTGGGCAGGGTGCAAGACACTGCTTCTAATTAAACTGAAAGTATTTTCTGTTGTAAACTTTTAGGGTTCAAACAGATGGACACAGGGGTCCATACAGTACATGTTTATGTACCAGAGAACCACAAATGTTGCATGTAGCTGTGGCTGAAAGCCTGTTAAAAACCATATGCACCAGTTGTATAGATCTTCCTACATATATCTGAGTGTTTACATTTGCAGTAGGGCAGAGGCACGGCCCTGGACACAGACAGACTGGGGTTTATTTACTAAAGCTGGAGAGTCCAAAATCAGACTCCCTTCTGCATAGAAACCAATCAGCTTCTAACCTCAGCTTGTTCAATGAAGCTTTGGCAATGAAACCTGGAAGCTGATTGGTTTCTATGCAGAAGGGAGTCTGATTTTGGACTCTCCAGCTTTAGTAAATAAACCCCACTGCGTCTAGGACTGTGTACCTGTTGAACCGTGGTCTGGCTATGGAAGCATAAACACAGTTCTGGGAGCATAAACACACTACAGGATGCATACATACAAGCTGTACTGTTCTCTGTGGCTGTGTGAATGAACCCTTAGGATGAATTGCTCCACGGTGCCTGCAGCTACAGAGGCCAATGGGGGTTTGTTTTAAAGTATATTTACTGCCTGTTAAGAAAATGTAACATTCTAATGTTTCTTGCCACACCACAGTTTTATTTTAAAGGAGAACTACGGAAGTGCGCATGCACGGGCGGGCGGTCGGTGTGCATGCCCCGCCACGGCGGCTCCCAGCACTCGATCCCTGCGGTGTGCAGGGGATCTAAAATGGCGCCCGGCTTGGCACTCGTGGCCCCTGTTGCCTCCTCTGCCTCTACTCGGCCAGTACCTCTCCCTCAGAGGGCGAAAACAGGCCCTACCTCCTCCATGGGCCAGACCAGACAGCAGAGACCTCATCTACTGGGGTGAGTGACCCTCCACGGCCCTCCCAGTCACCTTCCAGCTCTGCATTACCTGAGTCCCAGGCTTCGGCCTGCTCACTAGGCCGCGATTTCCCTGCTTCTTTCCCATTGGATAATGAGATGGCAGCCATATTAATTTCAGATATTGGGTAGGTTGGGGTTTGGCCCATCTTTTCTGACTTTAATACGGGCTCTCTATTCTACTCCTTCAGCTCAGATCTCCATTCGTGGATACAAATCAGCTTCTCTGTCTACTGAGCGTGGTACTAGACAGGGCTGCCCCCTTTCCCCCTTACTTTTTGCTTTGGCAATGGAACCACTTGCTATAGCTATCTGCTCGGATCCCACTATTTCTGGCATCCACTGTGGCCAACGTGATCATAAATGTGCTTTATTTGCTGACGATATTCTCATGTATATACTGTATCTAACCCACGAACATCATTACCTAGTCTCCTCCACCTGTTTCATCGTTTCTCTACGGCCTCTGGTCTCACTCTTAATCCCTCTAAAACAACTGCTTTAAACATTGCTCTACCTGGTTCAGAGGTCCAATACCTGCGGGACAACTTTGATTTTCAGTGGACCTCCCATTCTCTCCCTTATTTGGGAATTCACCTCACAAGCTCTATTTCGTCACTCTATAAGAACAATTATCCCCCGCTCTTCAAACTCCTTAAGACCGACTTACATGATTGGGAGGACCTTCCTTTATCCTGGTTTGGTAGAATTCATTCTATCAAGATGACCTTTTTACCGAGACTATTATACTACTTTTGGACTTTGCCGATCATGGTACCCAAATGGGAACTTTTGCTTTTACAAGCAGCAGTCTCTAGATTTATATGGAAAGGAAAATGTCCTCGGGTTACCAAGTCAACTCTATTTTCCCTTAAAAAGCATGTCGGTTTGGGACTTCCTAATCTTCAGATTTACTTTCAGGCGGCTCAGATGGCACCGCTCTCTTGTACTACCTCTAGGGGTTATGTTCCCCAATGGGTTGGCATTGAGGCCTTATCTTGCCATCCCTATGCTATTGGCGCCCTCATGTGGCTTCCCAGTCGGTTGCATCCTCCTATCCTTTGTCCCACATTATCCTATTCCTTAATGGTCTGGGATAGATGGCGGGCTCGCAAACCTCTCTGCTCTCTAGATACCCCATTAGCTCCTGTTTTTTGTAACCCTTTTTTGTATTCCTGGCTTATCTCCATCTGCATTTCAATGGTGGATAAATAAAGTATTTTTTGCGTATTGGGGACTACCCGGATGGCGTTTGTCCTCGTTCTCTCCAATACGTTTTGACAACTTTTCAGATGCCCTCCTGTGAACTGTTCTGTTACCATCAGCTTATATCTTTTATTACTAGTAGACTCAAATTACTCGTAGAACCTTGCACACTCACCCCTCTAGAAATCTCCTGTGGGGCTACTGGGAGGATGAAATGTCGATTATCCATTATCTATGCGTCCCTTGTCGACCCACTTACCAAGCTATCCTATATGATTCAATGGGAAAGGGATTTAAATAGCTTACTAGACTTAGACACCTGGCGAACTACGGCCAATACCCTATCTAAAATTTTTATTAATACTGCTCTTATTGAATCCAATTATAAAACACTTCTTCGCTGGAATCTAGTTCCAACGTCTTGCTAAAATGTACCTATCCATGTCACCCAATTGCTTTTGACACTGCAGACAGGAGGGCACTATGCTCCATATAAGGTAGAAATGTCCAGTGGTTCATAGATTTTGAATCCGATTGTTTAATTTTCTTTATTCGGTAACGGGAATCAATATTCGTAGAACACCGGAAGTAGCCCTATTTCACCTGTTGCCCACTGATATTCCCAAAAAATCAGTTACACTAATTCTTTATATTTTGTTAGCAGCACGAATTACAATAGCTAGATGTTGGAGACAATCATTAATTCCGCTAGATTGGGTCAAACAAAAACTCAATTGGATTATGATAAACTTATGAGTATTGTTAATAATAACACTTCTAAATTTGAGGTTACATGGGAGCCATGGATTAGGTATATCTCTATCACTTAATGGAACTGCGGCTGACCCTCTCTCTTTCTTTTTCCTCTTCTTCTTTCCTCTTCCCCCCTCTTTTTTCTTTTTCTCCCCTTCTGTTATTTTCTTTATTTTGTTAAATGGTAATATGAAACTGCCCATGTTTACTCACTACTGGAATATTTGCTTCCATATGGGGGTTATATTTGCTTGTTTGCATCATCAGTGATTGATGCCTCTTATGTGCCTATATATTCAAGAACCTGTTTATTCGCCTCAACTCACCATGTAGGTGGGCTATGTTTCTATGTTTTTGTTCTTGCATCTCACTTTTTCAATAAAAATATTGAAATATAAAGGAGAACTATGGGTTAGACAAAAAAAATCACCCATTAGTAAACCCCCCTACACAAAAATCTAAACAGATAATAAAACTTTGAAAATCCTTAACATTTAGGAGAGAAAAGTCTAATTGGATTTTTATGACCTCATCTCTGTAATTCAAAAGATAACAGCATCTGCTCTGCCAAGGAAGAGGTGTAACAACAGAGATGACATCATATCCTCTCCTCTCTCACTGCAGTAAAAGGAAACTACAGTTCCCATCATCCACAGGGAATTGTAGTAAATATGAGCACACTAGGCCTGTACATGTTGATTGTGTCTGACAGTCTCGGTCCGCCACCACAGCAAGCGGGGCTGAATTACTTCACTGCCTCCTGGAGAAATAACTACAGAAAGGATGTTCCAAGACCAGTGGCTGGGGGAATACGAGGCATAGCAGCCACTGGTCTTACAAACAGGAAACCAAAGAGAATTATCACTTTGATTGGAAAATAAATAGGCTATGTCAGAGCAACCACTGAGTGAACCAGAAGATGGATGACATATTCAGTGAAGATAGGAAAACGAGAACATGTAAAAAGTTTTTGCCCAGAATTCTGCTTTAAGACAAGCAAACCTGCATGGTAATATTATTACCTATGTCAATTGATGTATCATTTTACTATTTAAATTGATGTATAATTACCTCATGGTATGAGAATAGGCGGACACCTTCCATCTGATGAAAAACTGGAAAATGGGTTCTATCAATCTCATCGCGGCGATAAACATCTCCTGCAACCAGGAATGCATCCAGTCCAGAGTGCATCAAATCCCACTGATGAGCTGAGGTATGAGCACGGAGCATGTGAAAATGGTTTATATAGTAATTATCTCCTTTTTCTACTTGGATGGTCCAGAGGAACAAGAAGTCTGTCAAAATTCTGTTCTGTTGTGACAATGGGACATAAATCATCATAGACAGAAAACAGAGGGTTTTCACGGTGTCCTGTATATTGCCTGTAAAAATGTTCCTTGATTCTTTCTTTGATCAGCCACAATGGATGATAACTCTGGTTGTGTAAATTCTGTCCAACCAAAGACAAGATTTTACTGGTAATGTTTGAGAAATCATCTCGAGGAAACTGTCTACCAAGGAGTTCCACTGGACCAGGAATATCTGTAGAAGTTCTAGAGGTTACTGATCTTAAAATGTCATGCTTTATACATGATGTCATCCTAAGATTATGAGCCTCTGCAGATCTTGATAATGTTGAATACTGAAGAATTATATGCAGTGCAGAGCCTAAAAAACAAAACAAAATCATATATAAGTCTTACTTTAAGATCACTATTAAGAATGTAACCCAAGCAATGGACAAACTGTGGTAACGAAACAATAGCATATTAGAATGTTTGCTACACATACACAGGGTTAAATATTAAATATAAAATATGCACTATAACCATTTTTGCAGCCATACAAATAATGTAGGACTTTACTAAAAACACTTTATTTTTACTCCCAACAGATTTTGAGCATACAGATCTTGCTCCCAACTAATCCTGTGACTGATCTTAAAGCGGTAATAAACTCAAAACCAAAAATGTAATATTTTGCAGCTTACCAAACATTAGATGACATATTGGTGCATGCATTAGTTTTCTTTTTTTAAGGCTTTTCCCCCCTCTCTTTTCCCTTGGGGATCTGGCCAGTAACATACCTTCTGTATTAGAGTGCTTCCACTCCGGATGAAAGAGCACAGGCAGATTTGAGCAGTAACATTGTCAGTCTGTGGGGAGGGGGGGTGTTAGATGTACTAGCAAATTTAGATACACTAACAAATTGAAGCCAAACTCTAGATAGCACTTTATAAACAGTTACAGCAAACAGTGTTTTCCTTTTGGGATAAAGGTTTTCCATAGATAAATAAAAGTTAATCATTGTAAGCACCCCTGTCAGTGGTGAATGGTTTGTTTCATCCCTATAACTGCAGACAGCTTGTTCTTTAAAAAAAAAAAAAAACAACAGACTTACTGGCTAGATCACTATAATCAGAGAGAAGAGAGAAAGCCTAAAAAAGAAAATTAATACAGCACTCACATCTAAGACATGATAAACTGCAATATAATAAATGTATGCTTTTGGGTTTAATACTGCTTTAATCAGCACAGAGCCAAGTCTTTTCTTATACCTGAAGATGCAGCTCTCCGTTTTGCTCAATTGTACTAAAAAAAAAAAAAAAAAAGGGGGATATGCACGTTTCAATATATTGCTATCATATATTGTGCTGCCATCTAAAAAAAGATCCTCTTTACCATAAAAACTGAAAGGTTTTGAGTTGAATTATACCCTAAAGTTGTAATTGTCTTTTTAAATAACAAGCATGTTATATTTACCTGCTCTGTGCAATGGTGTTGCACAAAGCAGCCACAATTCTCATCTTCTTGATCCCCTGCTGGCGGTCCTGATTCCTCCACCCTGCTGAGTGCCCCCAATAGCAAGCCTCTTTCTATGGAGACACATGAGCAGCCTCACTCCTGGGCCGTGCCCCTGTGAATGGACATTGTCTATTCGCACGCACAGAGCAGCATGGTCCTGTCCTCGCTCTCTCCTTATTGGTTCAATGGCTGTGAGTAACAGCAGCAGGAGCCAATGGCTCCCGCTGTTTTGTGAGTCAATGAGGAGAGAGAGACCTGGGAGAGCCACTGCTCTCATGCACATCACTGGATCGAGATGGGGCTCGAGGTAAGTATAAGGTGGGCTGGGGGGGGGAGCTGCACCCAGAAGGTTCATAGAATGCGTTAAGGCAGAAAAAAACCTTCTGCCTTTAGAAACACTTTAAAATTTAAATATTTAGGATATAAATTGGTATACAGAAGCAACTGATGGTTACCAATACATTTTTGGGGCTCAAGAAGCGAGAACTCAGTCTGTTCTTTATGCCATATTTATCTGCAAGCCAAAAAGAAAGCAAATACTGCAAACTAAATTCTCCATAGGTGGAGAGTGAACTGCAAAAAGGACTGACTGCCATGCCTGTCTTAAAAACCAATTACGAAATATCAGCTTTGAGTAGAAACTGCCTATAAACAATTCAGGATTTTTTAACAAATCTATATATATCAACTTGTAACTACACATACAGAACAACTGTTCTATACCACAAACTCAAAAACATCTTCTTTTGCAATTTATATTATTTATCTGAATCCAAGGATTTTTCTGTATCCTTAAAAGCCCTACTTCCACAGCATACACTCATTGAGTTTATAAGCTGCATATTGCTTGAATTTATGGCTTTACATATGTGATTATACAGTGGATATAAAAAGTCTACACACCCCTATTAAAATGTCAGGTTTCTGTGATGTAAAAAATGAGATAAAAATATAAATTATTTCAGAACTTTTCTCACCTTTAATATAACCTATAAACTGTACAACTCAGTTGAAAAACAAACTGAAATCTTTAGGTGGAGGAAAGTAAAAATAAAAAACTAAAATAACATGATTGCATAAGTGTGCACACCCTTAACAACTTCCTGCCCGGCCTATACAGACTGACAGCTGGGCGGGACAATCCTCATTGTGACTGGGCGTCATATGACGTCTTGTTAAAACGAGCCTTGCAGCGACACGATCTGTCACCGGCTGTTTCCACACAACACAGGCGATGACATATCACTACACCGGCCTGTTGCCAGTGTCATGACCGCTGTGTGACCGCTGTGACCAATCATTGTATAGAATTATGTTGTTAGTTGCTGGACAAAGCAGTCACATGACACAGACAGGGCAAATCACAGCCCATCTGTATCATGTGATGAGCTTTGCCCAATCACAGATAATCACAACAAAAGACTGAAGAATCAGTTTCATTCAGTAACAATGATTGCAAATATCAATTAAATACATTGGTATTAGCAATCATAATGTGCTAAAAAAAAAAAAAAATTCTGATCACTTTCCCAGAGTATTTCAATGTTACTATAGTAACATTGAGTTGCTTTGAACAAAGTGTTGAAAAAAAATAGTAAAAAAAAGAAAAAATTATGTAATAAAAAAAAATTATAGAAAAAACGTGAAACAAAATACAAATTAAATTATTATTATTTTTTTTTTTTACATAATGTCACCAGTCAGTGTCTCTGATCACTGCCACTTCAGTTATATAACAACACTGGACTGGACTGGTGACAATATGTAAAAAAAAAAAAAAAAAAAAGTAATTTTTTTTTTTAATTTCCACATTTTCACAAAAAAATTGTAATTACAACTAAATTACAACTTCTAAAAAAAAACTCACCATGCCTCTTACTAAAAACTGTCTAGTTTCCAAAAATGGGTGATTTGGGGGATATTTGTGTTATCCTGGCGTTTTCGGGCCTCAAAAAATTAGATCGGCCAATAGTACATCAGAACTGATCGAATGTCAAATATACCATGGTTTGTGGACTCTATAACTTTCCTACAGACTAAATAATATACACCAATTTGGGGTATTTTCACCATAGAAATGTAGCAGAATACATTTTGACCTAAATTTATGAAGAAACGTTATTTGCGATATTTTATTACAGAAACAGAAAAGTTTTTTTTCAAAAGTTTCAGGTTTTTTTGTTTTATTTAGCAAAAAATAAAAAACCACCAAAAGAAAGCTCCATTTGTGGGAAAAAAATGATAAAAATGTCTTATGGGTACAGTGTTGCATGACCATGCAATTGTCATTCAGAGTGCAACATCTCTGAAAGCTGAAAATTGGACTAGGCAGGAAGGGGGTAGAAGTGCTAGGTATTGAAGTGGTTAAACCAATACTTTGTTGAAGCACCTGTTGAGGCACTCAGTCTTTTTGATTATGAGTCTATCAGCATGACACATCTTGACTTGGCAATATTTGCACACTCTTCCTTGCAAAAACACTCCAAATTTGTCAGATTGTGAGGGCATCTCCTGTGCACAGCCGTCTTCAGACCACCCCACAGATTTTCGATCGGATTCAGGTCTGGGCTCTGGCTGGGCTATTTCAAAACTTTAATCTTCTGGTGAAGCCATTCCTTTGTTGATTTGGATGTGTGCTTTGGGTCGTTGTCTGCTGAAAGATGAAATTCCTCTTCATTTTCAGCTTTCTAGCAGAAGCCTGAAGGTTTTTTGCCAATATTGACTGGTATTTGGAACTGTTCATAATTCCTTCTACCTTGACTAAGGCCCCAGTTCCAGCTGAAGAAAAACAGCCACCACCATGCTTCACTGTGGGTATGGTGTTCTTTTGGTGATGTGCAATGCTGTTTTTGAGCCAAACATATCTTTTGGAATTATGGACAAAAAGTTCAACCAGAACACATTTTCCCACATGCTTTTGGGAGACTTCAGATGTGGTTTTTCATCAGTTTTGCATGGACGCCCAGTTCTTGGTAATGTCACCGTTGCGCTATATTTTCTCCACTTGATGATGACTGTCTTGACTGTGTTCCATTGTATATCTAATGCCTTGGAAATTCTTTTGTACCATTCTCCTGACTGATACCTTTTAACAATGAGATCCCTCTGATGCGTTGGAAGTTCTCTGCGGACCATGGCTTTTGCTGTAGAATGCGACTAAGAAAATGTTAGGAAAGACCTACTAGAACAGCTGAACTTTATTTGAGGTTAATCAGAGGCACTTTAAATGACGGTAGGGTGTGTACTGACTCCTATTTAACACGATTTTTAATTTGATTGCTTAATTCTGAACACAGCTACATCCACGGTTGTGTACAAGAGGGTGTGCACACTTATGCAAACACATTATTTTAGTTTTTTATGCTTACTCCCCCCAAAAAAAGATTTCAATTTGTTTTTCAATTGAATTGTACAGTTTATAGGTTACATTAAAGGTGAAAAAAGTTCTGAAATGATTTATCTTTGTTTCATTTTTTACATAACAGAAACCTGACATTTTAACAGGGGTGTATAGACTTTTTTATATCCACTGTACCTATACTAATAAACCAACATTTCCAGAAACACACTTAGCTCACTGCTTTTCATAAACAGCACTATAGAATGAAATGATGTATTTGTGCTTTAAACCTACTAAAAATTAAACTTATGAAAATGTATAAAATACATTAGATATTTAATTAGATATCTAAATAATCTTCTGCTACTAACAGATCAGAAACTGGAATACATAAGTGTGAAAAATACTAACATATTAAGAGCTGTAGTGAACCAAATGGAAGAAACCTCATCAGATGAAATGGTTTCATCCTTCACCTTTGGAGGCATTAAATTAACATTAGTTCATCTATCCAATTGAGGTCACTCAATAGGGTGCTTTTCTGTATTGACTAGGTTAAAATAATACATTTTAGAAATGAATGTGCATTCATTAAAAGGACACAAAAGGTGAAAGTGGGAAAAGTTTCAGAGCTTAACAGTTAAAAGTTGCATATACTTATGTCTATAGCATTGCAGTTGCTTGTCTTATTTGGGTGTCTTATTTAGTACTATGATGCTTAGAATAGCCAAATTACTCATTGCCATGTTTCCATTACAATATATAACAAGTCTGATCTAAATAGGCATATTCACAGCCAAGATAAACAATTAGTTCCTGTTTGGGTACTAGGGCAGGTAAGCAGAAACATATAATAGAGTAAAGGACAGCAAAAAAAAACAAAACAAAAACATTTTCTTTAGGGGCCCATTTACACCTCTCTTTTAATGTACATGTGTTTCTACTGAGATCATTGAAAACACGTATGATGTAACGCAGGGCTTAAAATTTCAAGTCCTGAGCTACTAGCCAGGCCTTAAGAGTTACTCGCCACCAGTTGCCCTACCCAACCCCTACCCTGCTACACCCCTAATTCCGCCCCTAAACATGCCCTCGTAAATTATTTTATGAAATTACACTGTTAAATGTTACCCACATTACATCAGGGTCCCCAGAGTCCCCCCACATTACATCAGGGCCTCCAATGTCCCCCTAAACACTCCATCATACTTAGACCATGCACCGCATACAACCATAACCCCCCATAATCTTTCACTCACAAAACCATAACTCTACCAAGCATATCCTACCTACTATCCAACCCAGCAGTACCTCACATGCCCCATACTGTACCACCCATAATAACCAGATAATCCTGAACCTAACCAAACCACCCATACATGTAGGTTTACATACAGACACAAACACACAGACATGTACACACACACACATGCACAGAGACACATGTACACACACACACAGACAGACACACATGTACATACACACAGACACATGTACATACACAGAAATACACACACGCGCACACACACTTGTACATACACACACAGACATGTACATACACACAAGCACACACACACACACATACATGCACACACACATGTACACACACACACGCATGTAAACACACACATACATGTATATACAAACACAAACACACACAGATGCATGTACATACATACATACACACATACAAATACACACAGCCCTATAAAAATTTGCAGTATATCGTTACCTTCACTCACAGAGCCGGGTACTGCACTCTAGGGGGAGGCAGAGAGCACAGCGCACACTCCTTCCTTTGCTTTGATTTTGCTCAACTATTGAGCAGTCTGACGTCTCCCAGTGTGAGTGACAGATCCAGCCCTGAGTTCCGAGCCTGCTCAGCAAGACGGCCCTGGGGACACACTCGCCCCCACCATAATTTCCACTTGCCAATGCGAGCAAGTGAGTGGAAATTTAAAGCCCTGATGTAACGCATGTGCATTGACCAGTTTTTATTTTTAAGTGCTGATGTACAATGCAAAATTCTTTGCAATACAGGCTAAACATCTGCTTTCATTGAACACAATGGAAAATATCTGCCGAAAAAGGAGGAATAGTAATGCAGCCTTAGTAAATTGGGAAAGGATTAGAACCTTTGGAGTATTTTCAGTAAAATCTTTGTCGCTAATAGGGAACCTGTAAGGTAACTAGAACAGAAATTCACAGAATTTCCCCAGCAGGGACACAAACAAAAGTTTCCCTCTCTAAAACTAAAAACAATGTTTTGGCTGGTTCCATATTAAGAAATGTTATAAATTAATAACAAATCTGTCTTCATATAATTCAATACTTCACATTTGAAAATGTAACTGCATTAGATATTTTATCACAATAATTCTCTATTTAAAACAAGCATATAAGACAGTATGTAAAATCATTATTTTGGCATGAGATAGGATTTACATACACTTTATGTGACTAAATAACTAATATTATTTTTGAGTATGTTTGTGTCTCACTGTGTACAGCTTTCTTAAGAAAATTATGTTTTGTAAAACTGTTGCAAACTTTATTTTCAGACCCTGCAGGTAACAGAACTTCCTGTTGCAGGCTGATGATGCAAAGCCAGTGCTGTGCAATTAGCTGCAGCATTGGAAGCCTCATCCCATGGTAATTATCTCACAACATGCATCTTATACATTCTCAAATTAACTCCAGGCTCACAATAACCCATGCAGTAATCTTTGAGAATTGGGTTTTACAAGCAACATAATACAATGTTATTGATGTAAAGGAGATGCATGGGATGAGTAAAAAAAAAAACCCTTCATACGTACTGTACCATCAGTGTCAGTATGCAGCTGACCAATGCTGCCTCTAAGGCCAAAGATCGTGCAATCACATGAACGCTGATCGTTCAGTTCTCACTCTGCTCTGACTGTCAGCAGCTGCTCTCTGCTCCTTCGGCACTCACTAGAGTGCCAGGCTGGGTAGGGGACAAGAGTGGCTGGCTTCGACCACACACTGAGGAGGAGAGAGGTGTCAGCCAGGTGGATTCCAACCATATTGTCTGGATCCTTCAAGAGCCTGGCTTGGCTCTGCCCTGTCAGCTAATAGTGGCCAATAGCTAACTCTGGGTCATAGGAGAACAAAAATAAATGTACTCCTGGGACTCAAAAGAGAAGTATGGCCAAAAAAGCTTTGGCCATTTTTCTCTTTTAACGTGCATTCAATACATTTAAATGACTGGTGGGACAGAATGTTTAGTAACTTGAAAAATATAATTTTTCTAAAATAAAAATAGGAAAATAACACAAAACAGTGCAAAAAAAGCTATACAGTGAACTAACCCCTATATGAACCATAGAAGTACTTTTTCAGGGAATTTCTTGTATAGCCAAAGTAAGAAAATCTATAAACTACCTTGCTAGACTCACAAAAGCAGTTCTAAAATACTTAATCTAACATTACCCCATTCTGTCAATAAAGATGGACTAGTTGACTCTGACACAAAAAAGAAACTATTAATATGATTTATTACTCAGAACTTAATTAAAACTCAACTAATATCAGCTACAGCACAATTCAAAAAGTAAGTTGTTTCACAAGATTATCAAAGTAGCTCAAGGATTTTTTCAACAGTGTTTTCTTCACTCCAATGGAGAACCATTAATCACAATGATACCAGGAACAGCATCTGAAAACCAGCTACATTGGAGGCAATGATTACAAAATGGTTTACCGTTAAAAAATATCAACAGTGTTGACATTTTGTATCATATGAATTATGATGCTTTAATAACAATTCCAGATAACCTTACTTGTTTCACTTGATTTTGTATTGTAAAAAATGGTCAGACCTTGTAGAAAAAAAACTATTTACTTAGGTATCGAGTATTAAAGGGCTGTACATATATATAAAATATTTATTAACTAATTTTCGCAATTTATGGCACTTTTATATAGTTATGGAAGTGACAAGGCAAAACTTAAGCAATCCACGGTGACAATATGTAACAATGAAAACTGCACCACAGGCTAAACCAAAAGAAACCAAAAATAAGTAAACACAGAGGAATGTGATTATGGCTGCTGCAGTCTTCAAAATATGTCTAACTTCCACAGTAGTGAGTCCTATAAAAGTGTACATAGTCCGTGCTGCAATCAAGTTGGTGACAAGAAAACACAGTGGGTCCAACCAAAAAAAGCGCAGTGAGACCTATCTAGTAATAGAAGGTCTATCCATTTTAGGGAGTGCAAATCCATGTGCGGTCACCTGGAGCACCTGGAAGTGGTCACCTGTTTTTTCTGTTACTGGCACCAGCACCTGTTCATCTATTCTTTGGTTTTCAAGCAATTATCATTTGAATGGAACTTAACCTCTTCACGCCGGAAGCACACAAATGTGCGGCCTACCGGCGTCTGGGCCTAGACGCCGAGCGGCCGCACATTTACGTGCAATTAACAAAAAACATATGTGCTGAGAGCGCGCACCCTGTGCGCTCTCAGCACACATGTCCGGTACTCACAGAAAGGTCCCGGTCTGCTCTTTCGATTGGGACCTTTCCTAATCATGTGACTGCCGTGATGACGGGTAATCCATAAACCCCGCCCGTCCCGCCTGCGGAAACTCTTAAAGGGCCGGGAGGCGCCGGCAGAAAGGGGTTAATGATACATCGGACATTATTAGCATTTTCTGGTGTTCATTTATTTTTTTTTTTTTTTTTTTTCATTTTAACATTTGGCAAATTGTTTAGTAATTGTGATTCACATTTTTTGGCAGCGCGGTCTATACATTTTTACATGATGACAATATGACACCATCATATTGTCCAATTAGCTGCGTAGTGTATTTAATTTATTACGAGAACGAATCCTAAAACTTGTTTTTCCACATCCATCTAAAATGCCTTCTGTAAAAAACACAGATCATCTTACTGAAAATAAATTGTGCTAGCATAAAAAAGAGATAAAGTGCCTAAAGCGCAATCACTACAAGATTAACAGAATGTGATTTTCACTATATACAGGTGAAACTCAAAAAATTAGAACATTGTGCAAAAGTTCATTTATTTCTGTAGTGCAACTTAAAAGATGAAACTAATATATGAGATAGACTCATTACATGCAAAGCAAGATAGTTCATGCCGTGATTTGTCATAATTGTGATGATTATGTCTTACAGCTCATGAAAACCCCATATCTACAATCTCAGAAAATTAGAATATTACATGCAATCAATAAAAAAAGGATTGTACATAGAACAATATTGGACCTCTGAAAAGTATAAGCATGCATATGTACTCAGTACTTGGGTTGGGCCCTTTTTGCAGCAATTACTGCCTCAATGCGGCGTGGCATGGAAGCTATCAGCCTGTGGCATTGCTGAGGTGTTATGGAAGACCAGCATGCTTCAATAGCGGCCTTCAGCTCTTCTGCATTGTTCGGTCTCATGTCTCTCATCATTCTCTTGGCAATGCCCCATAGATTTTCTGTGGGGTTCAGGTCAGGCGAGTTTTCTGGCCAATCAGGCACAGTAATCCCACGGTCATTGAACCAGGTTTTGGTGCTTTTGGCAGTGTGGGCAGGTGCCAAGTCCTGCTGGAAAATGAAGTCAGCATCCCCATAAAGCTTGTCTGTGGAAGGAAGCATGAAGTGCTTCAAAACCTCCTGGTAGACGGCTGCGTTGACCCTGGACTTAATAAAGCACAGTGGACCAACACCAGCAGATGGTTTTCTGCACAACTGTCAGGTCAGCAGTCTTTCCCATGATTGTGATTCCTACTGAACCAGACTGAGAGACCACTTAAAGGCTCAGAAACCCTTTGCAGGTGTTATGGCTTAATTAGCTGATTAGAGTGGAACACTTTGAGCCGAGAATATTGCACCTTTTCACATTATTCTAATTTTCTGAGATTGTGGATTTGGGGTTTTCATGAGCTGTAAGCCATAATCATCACAATTATGACAAATCACGGCTTGAACTATCTTGCTTTGCATGTAATGAGTCTATCTCATATATTAGTTTCACCTTTTAAGTTGCATTACTGAAATAAATGAACTTTTGCACGATATTCTAATTTTTCGAGTTTCACTTGTGTATATATATATATATATATATATATATATATATATATATGTATTTAGAAAGAAAATGTGTACTAAGAAAAACATGTAGGCTGCCATTGCAAACAACCTTCTCGAATTCTACTTATCTGTCTTTAATGTTACTTTTTACCTTTAGATATTCCTTTGAACACATATACAGATCACAAGTTCTAGCTACATTATCTGCATTCTTGTCCTGGGTTAGGGACCCAGAATGAATTAATGCTGGAGGATAAACAGCCAGGAAATGAGGCATTTCTAAAGCAAGCCAGGAGTTACAATCTATGTTTTACATTTTAAAATTTCAACTTTTATAAGGCATCTTACTGACTGGAACAGTACCAACTGATTGATGTAGAGCAAATGTGGTACCAGTTTACACATAGAAATTGAGATGTATACCAGGAAACAATGGACTAGTCAGCCTAATATCAATAGTACGTAAGGTATTTGAGGGAATGGTTAGGGACTCCATTCAGAAATGTGTCTGTAATAATGGTATCAAAAGTGACAACTAGAATGGTTTATGAAAGACCATTCCTGTCAGACCAACCTGTCATTGTTCCATAAGGAAGTAAAAGAGAAATTGGATGGTATAAGTCCAGTGGGCATAGTTCATAGTGCACTTTGCTAGGGCATTTGATACTGTACTTTATACATATTTTTATCTATAAATAAAGTCTATTGGAGTTGATGAAATTGTATGCTCATGATTGGGAAAATGGTTTGGACAGTTCCAGGGAATAGTGATAACTGACTCATTCACGGAATGGTCTAAAGTTGCAAATGGTTTGCCATAGGGTCTGTCTTGGGGTAAATGCTGTTCAGTTTGTTTATTAATAATACAGAGGATGGAGTCCAAATCTCAATTTCAGTGTTTGCTGA